GCTATAGGCGCCGAGCCACTAGACCAATTTTAAATCATAAATTTAGAATCACTGGGAATGAGTCACAAAAAGTAACATTTAGATTTTTTTTTTGTATAAAATTCAAGAGTGTCAAGATTGTCAATTATTAAGATAAAAGCAAAGTATCAAGAAGTTATTTCTAAAACTATGAATAACAACTTAAAATTGACTACGCTGTTGGCTGGATGTGATATGTGCCATGGTATTCAGGTTAATCCACTTTGTGAAACTAAAATTTAATTCTGCTTAAGTTTCATTTTTCTTTTCATAATATTCACTTAGTCTGTTTTAATGACTGTAATTACCTCATAATCATGATACCAAATTTTTCTAAAGTACAAACTCTGCCTAAGAGCCATATTTGGTCTCGGAGTTCAAGTAACAGGATTTGGAAATACCACCTATATGTTATGAACTATCCAGAGGCTCCCCATATGTCACTGTCTGTGTAATTATTCCTTTGACAGCACCATGCCAACCTGTCCTCTAATGCTCTGCTTCCATTAATCTTGTCTGAAGAAATCTAGTTCACACTGGGCCCCAACCAAACTGGTGGGCCCAAACATTTTATATCAGCAGCTTTCTAGTTAATGAGCCAATACATATGAATGAATATAAAAAAACTTATATGTGAATGTTCACAGCAGCATAATGGACAAAAAGGAGAAACAAACCAAATGCCCACTAGCTAACGAATGGATAAAATGTGGTATATCCATATACGAGAATATTTTTGATAATAGCAATTAAATACTGATAGATAGTACAAGATGGATAAACCTTGTAAACATGCTAAGTGAAAGCCAGTTTTAAGAAAGACCACATATAATGTGAATGTGCCGTTCAGCAAAGGGTTCTGATGGAGAGCAATATGGATTTGAAAAGATAAAGCTGATTCACACACTAATCTATCCTTTTTTTTTTATTTTGGAGACAGAGTCTCGCTTTATCACCCATGGTAGAGTGCCACGGCACCATAGCTCACAGCAACCTCAAACTCCTAGGCTCAAGGGATCCTCTTATCTCAGCTTCTTGAGTAGCTGGGACTATAGGCACCCACCATAACGCCCAGCTATTTTGTAGAGATGGGGTCTCACTCTTGCTCAGGCTGGTCTTGAATTCCTGAGCTCAAGCAATCTACCCGCCTTGGCCTAACAGAGTACTAGTTTTTTTTTTTGTTTGTTTGTTTTTTGAGATAGAGCCTCAAGCTGTCACCCTGGGTAGAGTGCCGTAGCATCACAGCAACCTCCAACTCCTGGGCTCAAGCGAGTCTCCTGCCTCAGCCTCCCAAGTAGCTGGGACCACCGGCGCCCACCACAACGCCCAGCTATTTTTTGGTTGCAGCTGTCACTGTTGTTTGGCGGGCCCAGGCTGGCGGGCCCAGGCTGGATTCGAACCCGCCACCTTAGGTGTATGTGGCTGGTGCCTTAGCCACTTGAGCCACAGGTGCCAAGCCAGAGTACTAGTATTATAGGAAAGAGCCACCATGCGTGGTCCACAATAATCTAGTCTTCTTCCTTTTTTTTTTTTTTTTTTCCTGAGACAGAGTCTCACTATGTCATCCTTGGTAGAGTGCCATAGCATTACAGCTCACAGCAACCTCAAACTCTTGGGCTTAAGTGATACAGTTCTGGCAAGTTTCACTTTTCTTTACAGTTAAGAGCCCAAGAAACTCCGTAATTCTTTTTTTTTTTTTTTTTCTTGAGATAGAGCCTCAAGTTATCGCCCTGGGTAGAGTGCCGTAGCATCACAGCTCACAGTAACCTCCAACTCCTGGGCTCAATGAGTCTCCTGCCTCAGCCTCCCAAGTAACTGGGACCACAGGCACCCGCCACAACGCCTGGCCATTTTTTTTGTTGCAGCCGTCATTGTTGTTTTAGCAGGCCCAGGCTGGATTCGAACCTGCCACCCTAGTCACTTGAGCCACCAGCGCCAAGCCCGTAATTCTTTTTGATGAAAGATTAATACTTTATAGAGTAACAAACTTATTCTAAAATTTGGCCATCCATTTATTCAGACTTGGCTCTGAATGCTCCTTTTAAGGGTCATTTCAAAAACAAATCTAGGCTCGGCGCCTACAGCTCAACCGGCTAGGGCGCCAGCCATGTACACCTAAGGTGGCGGGTTTGAATCCCCAGCCCGGACCTGCCAAAAACAACAATGACGGCTGCAACCAAAAAATGGCCAGGCGTTGTGGCGGGCGCCTGTGGTCCCAGCTACTTGGGAGGCGGAGGCAGGAGACTCGCTTGAGCCCAGGAGTTGGAGGTTGCTGTGAGCTATATACGAGAATATTTTTGATAATAGCAATTAAATACTGATAGATAGTACAAGATGGATAAACCTTGTAAACATGCTAAGTGAAAGCCAGTTTTAAGAAAGACCACATATAATGTGAATGTGCCGTTCAGCAAAGGGTTCTGATGGAGAGCAATATGGATTTGAAAAGATAAAGCTGATTCACACACTAATCTATCCTTTTTTTTTTATTTTGGAGACAGAGTCTCGCTTTATCACCCATGGTAGAGTGCCACGGCACCATAGCTCACAGCAACCTCAAACTCCCGGACTTAAGTGATTCTCTTCCCCCCCCCTCCCAAGTAGCTGGGACTACAGGTGCCCACCACAATGCCTGGCTCTTTTTTTGTTGTAGTTGTCATTGTTGTTTTAGCAGGCCTAGGTCGGGTTTGAACCTGCCAGCCTTAGTGTACGTAGCCAGCGCCCTACTCACTGAGCTACAGGCACCGCCCCAAAAGCTGCTTTTAAGCTAAAATGCTACAAGTTTTCAAAATCAGGCAGCCTCATGCTACAGTCACAACTACATGGTAAAGCAAATGTATCCTCTTCTCTCCATCCCAACCTGCTACCTACCATCTTAATCTAAGTTGCTTCACCTTTCACCTGAACTACTCCAGCTAATGGGTATCCCTAGTTTACTCTTGTTCCCCTCTGGCCTGTTCTTCACAAAGCAGCTAGAAAAATGTCGCTTGCTGCAGAATCCTCTTAACTTCTACTCGGTCTCACCCCTGCGAGCCTCCCCCTTATTCTCAATGCCCCCAGTGGCCTTCAGGCTGAGGGAACAGGCCAGGACTGTTCCTGCCTCTGGCCTCTGTATCAGCTATTTCCAGTTCCTAGAATGCACTTCTTATTCTTGGCATGGCTGGTTTCTTGCTACTAAGATGGTAGCAAAGGCATCACTCTCAGAGAGGACTTCTCAGACTAAGCATCATCTACCATATCACAGTATTTCGGTTCTCCACATGCACTCTTGTGATGTCTCTCATTTGCCACCCTCTCCCCTGCTAGGAACAAAGTAATCTCCTGGGGAGTAACAAATCTTGGCTGGCCACCTGATTCTGCTAGAATGAAGCAATGACTGATTATCTAGGTTTCAGTAAAATCATTCATGCCTGAATATTTCCAAGTCTACTGAAGCAGATTTCCAAAAATTCCTATAGAATGTTTATGAAACATGGCTACCCTGAATTCAATCTAAAAAGACATGATTTTTCTGTGATTTGTAAGCAGGAAATCCAAAAGAACTTCAGACTAGTAACATTATACTTACTCTGAGAGAAGTTTATATTTCTTCAAATCAATTTCTGGAAAAAATGTGTCACATTCAAAGTCCTGCATGATCCTTGTCACAAACAGTTTAACATGGCCTGGTTGATTCATGGCTTCCTTTGGAAAAACAAACAGGCATCAATTTCTTTAATCTGTATCAAAATATAGAAACTCTTAAGATTCTTGTTTAATTAGTTTAAGTTCATATGAAGTATTAAAGACATGCTTGTTACCAATGTAACATTGGCTTGTTACCAATGTTACCAGTGTTCCCATGAAACTTACCAAAATAGGCTGGCTGGCTTAGTTTGGGCCACAGAAGATAAGCCTGAATGATCTATAAGCTGCTACCATGAAAGCAGCGGTCCCCAACCTTTTCGGCACCAGAGACCCATTTCATGGAAGACAATTTTTCCACGATGGCAGGGAAACATGACATCCTCCTAATGCATATGCAACCTAGAAGCCTCGCATGCGCAGTTTATAGTAGGGTTCACATTCCTATGAGAAACTAATGCTGCTGCTGATGTGACAGGAGGTGGAGCCCAAGCAGCGATGCAGGACACAGGGGGTGGCTGTGAATACAGATGACACTCTGCCTACCCATGTGCCTCTCACCTCCTGCTGTGCAGTCAGGCCTGGTTCCTAACAGGCCACAGACCTGACAGGTAACTGGTCCACAGCATAGGGATTGGGGACCACAGTTCTAAAGCAGACTATTTAAATAGCCTATTCTTTAGAATGGGCCTTGCAAAGTGTACCTTAATTATTTTGTGAATGATACTCATCATCATAAATAATTGTGAGACTCAGTTTAAATATATTCTACCTTGTAATCTGCTTACAAGAACTCCTTTTTAATTTAAGCATTCAGTTTTGTCATTTTCCCTTGGTGGTTGTTTTAAAAGGTAAGAACACTAAATCATCTAGTTGTTCTCCATAGAAAAATCTACCTTTGTACATATGGATAAGATAGCACAATTTCGGCTCGGCGCCTGTGGCTCAAGCGGCTAAGGCGCCAGCCACATACACCTAAGGTGGTGGGTTCGAATCCCCAGCCCGGGCCCACCAAAGAACAATGATGGCTGCAACCAAAAAATGGCCAGGCGTTGTGGCGGGCGCCTGTAGTCCCAGCTACTTGGGAGGCTGAGGCAAGAGAATCGCTTAAGGTTGAGAATCGCTTGAGGTTACTGTGAGCTGTGATGCCACAGCATTCTACCCAGGGCAACAGCTTGAGACTCCGTCTCAAAAAAAAAAAAGTTAGCACAATTTCATAAGAACTTGACTAAAAACTCAAAGGACATATTTGTATATGTACATAAAATTTAATAATGCTTATATTAATATTTCTCAGGAAATTACATTGTTAGTAGGAAGGTAATTTATTCTGCCTCTGTTGCTAACAATTGTTTTTGGTTTTATATTGTGAATGGCTTTCCTAATTCCTGCTTATAGTACTGTGAATAGTTTCTATAGAAAAAACTGCCCTGGAATGAATATCTTAAAATTCTCATAAAAAGTGTGAGTCTTAATTGTGGCTCCCAGAAAGCAAAAATTCTTCATCTTCAAATAGCTTGTAGGGAAAAGAAAAAAAAATATATATACACACACACTATGTATACATACATATAACATACTATATGTAGATTTATATTTTATTAAATATTTTATTTTATTAAATTTTAGTTATTCTTCCAGCTCTGATGGCACCTGTAGCTCAGTGGGGCTCAGTAGAGTGCTGGCCACATACACCAAGGTTGGTGGGTTCGAACCTGGCCCGGGCCAGCTAAAATAACAATGGCAACCACAACAAAAAAATAGCTGGGCGTTGTGGTAGGCACCTATAGTCCCAGCTACTTGGGAGGCTGAGGCAAGAGAATCGCTTAAGGTTGAGAATCGCTTGAGGTTACTGTGAGCTGTGATGCCACAGCATTCTACCCAGGGCAACAGCTTGAGACTCTGTCTCACAAAAAAAAAAAATTAGTAAAACTGAAGATAGTACTTCCCCTTACCTGTAGTTTCACTTTACACAGTTTCAGTTATCTGTAATTAGTCTGAAAATGTTACATAGAAAATTCTAGAAGTATACAATTCATAAGACTCAAATTGCACATTGTTCTGAGTGGTGTGATGAGATCTTATGCCATCCTCCTCCACCCTGTGCAGGACGTTAATCATCTTTTTGTCCAGTGTATCCATGCTGTCTACCCTACTTGCCCCGTTAGTCACTCAGGAGCCATCTGGATTATTAGATTGACTTTGGCAGTACTGCAGTGCTTGTGCTCAAAGAAGTCTTATTTTACTGAATAAAGGCCCCAAAGTGCAAGAGTAGTCATGCTGATATATTGTTATAATTGTTCTATTTTATTATTGTTAATCTCTTACTGTGCCTAATCCATAAATAAAACTTTATCATAGCAATGTATGTACTGAAAAAAACTACTTACATATATCAGGTTTAGTATTAACTATCTATAGTTTCAGGCATCCACTGGGAGTCACTGAATATATCCCCCATGGATAAGTGGATCTACTCTAGAACTAACAACAGGAGCATTTGAAGTTCTCTATCAATATTGATGACATAAGGCAAACTTTCTATAAAGGGCCAGATGCTAAATATTTTAGGCTTTCAAGGCCAAAAACCAGCCATAGACAATACTAAAAAAATGGGCGTGGCTGTGCTCCAGTGAAACTTTACTTACAAGAATAGGCTGGAAGGCCTAGTTTGGCCCGCAGAGGATAAGCCTGAATGATCTGCAAGCTGTAAACACAATCATTTAAAGGTTCTACTTCCTTAGTATTTATTCACAGATTAATCAAATTATATAAATGCAACATTTATATTGCATTTAACAATATTTAAATATTTAAACAATATTAATATGTTTATAGAATATATTTTCAAGCAAATGTGGTACTGAATTATCCAAAGTGTGAGAGGTACTAAACTAAATGAAGAAAAAACTTCTTTTCTTAGAAGAAATTCATTATTTGGATGAGAAGATCAAAGAAAAATGTCCAATTCCCAGTTACAAATGGGGAAAATAAGAGGTTGTTGAAATAGGAAGCTAAGAAACTGAGAGTTTTTATAATCCTATCTAGAATCCTGGCATACTTCTTTCTAAAATAATTTCAGTGGATAAATGTTACCACAGACCTCAAAAGGTAGGGACTGATTTTTCTTTCTCTTCATAAATGCTAATCTTTCATTAATGTTTTAAAAGTCAAAGAATTCTATTTATTATCTTCAAAAAAAAAATTTTTTTTTTTTTTTGAGACAGAGCCTCAAGCTGTCCCCCTGGGTAGAGTGCTATGGC